AGAGAACGAAATCTTGAAAAATGGCAAATTTTCTACCCTTCATTCATCGCCTCCACGATCCACAATTAAATAAATTCTTTAAAAGTGCATGATTTACGGTAACTTTATTTACTTCCAATTTGCCCATCTTCCCAAAATGTGTAGAATGTAATAAATGTTTTTAATAATTCATAAATATTTGCACAAGCTTCAAACATTTAATCGTTGCGGATTCAACAAACCATTTTTTCCATTTTTTCTCGAAATTATGGAACTGTTGGCCAATTCGTTATTCATCATCATCTTTTCCGGTTTTCCACAATAATTGGATTTCAAAGTGAGCCCACGATTACAAGAAATCAGCAGCTTTCGTCCGTTCGTAGATTATGTAATTTGATCCCCTCAGGCGTCAGATTGTAAACAGTGGAACAAATCTGGGCGAAATATGGCAATTACAGAAAAAAAAACTCAACGAGTCCCTAGTAATCCTTGCCAAGCCTGACCATTTCCTTATTCAGCTCATCCCAACCAAAATCTTGAACAATCTGCCATTCAATTCACTTTTCGACCCTACTATTATTAACGTCAACACTTTATCTTTCTTCTCTGGGAATGGAAAATCCGGTCCGGTTTACAAGAAAAAAATGCGGCGTATTTTCTAATCCGATATATAAAAATCTGTATAAAAATAGGGATCGACTAATCGTTAAATTATTTGGATGGACCAAATTTACGACTATTTTGACCCCTTTTTCCCTCGTCATCATTAATATGTAGGAAGCGACGTTTTAATTGCAGGTGGGTTTGGGAGGGTTCACAAATTATAATTATGGTTATTACGGAAAACTATGACCCACTCATAAAATTCAGTAGTTGCCACTTGTTTTTCTTATCTTGGAAAAAATCTAGATCTGATTTTATCCCAGATTTTAAGAATGATCTTTCATTCTGATTAAGAAATCTTTTCCGTTTAAGATATGTAGAGGAGATTTTTAATTTATGACAAAAAACTAATTACTGTTTAAAGAGGCGGAAAAGAAAATGGGCTGTGACGACGTGGTTTCATTATTACGTAACTAGCGGAATTGAGTAAAGGAGGATTTTTAATCGTGGTTTAAGGGGGTGCATTACGTGCTATCTCATACGCTTTATGTACATGTTAGAGACGTATGAAATGCATATAACGACCAACAAATGAGATAGCACACACATATCCAGCCACTCACCCTCCTCATCCAGAAAATATTGACCTTTTTACAAATCCCAGCGTCGTCCAGGATTGGAATTCCACCACCTCATTAAATCTCCTTGATCCATAATAACATCTCCATCACAAGGTTATCTTTACGGCTTAGGAAGAAAACCTCTTCCTCCTTCTGCAACAGGTCGCTTCTTTCATTTCATTCCAACCCAAGCTTTCCCCAGCAGAAGACCCAGTTTTTTTCTGCCCTGAGAAATCAGTCAATTGAACGACTTTGACATATTTAATTTCGCCATTAAGAAGATTACGCGAACGTCGGTCTGGTCTGGAAAAGAGTGTCCATGCATCCAGCAGGTGCACGTGGTCACCTGTGCGTGTGTGTCGATTAAGTGCATATGTATATGGACATGATCCCTTACACATAAGTCGTCATGTCCAAGTATGGATGCCACCTGTCAAAACTGACGTGTCACCTGCGTACGGACGTATGCAAACCTACACATGTATGTCACCTTAATAAGTTATGCCTACGTATTAGAAGAATATTGATTTTATTGCTTATGCATCAGCTCGTCCACCATAATTCCATCCATGTCTCTCTAACAAATATGTACCATCTTGTCCAGTGTTTGTTCCGGGTGCAAGAAATAACGGGGAGAAAGTGGTATATATTTTGACCTGCAAAAAATACACGGCGCAAGAAACTAAGCCCCCACCGCTATTTTTTGTACGTCGCGTGGCTGGATGGCGCTTATTTCTTGCGCTTCTCCCAGTTTCTTGCACCTCGCATTTCTTGCGCTTTCTCCCAGTTTGTTGCACTTCGCATTTCTTGCGCTTTCTCCCAGTTTCTTGCACCTCATACTTCTCGCACTTCTTTTTTCAGTGCAAGAAATGCACGTTAGTCAACCCGCAAGAAACGCAGCACTGATCTTGTCCATAAAACGGACGATCTGTGTCTCTCCTCCAATCCACGCCTCTCCGGAGGATATGATGGTTGCATTGTAAGCCTACCTGTGGATCAGCTAAATTGTCCATAGTTGAAAAACCAATAATTCATTACACATTTTTCTGCTGCGCCTATGTCACAATATTTCTATGTCCGCACTAATTGCTCATTCTTACATTGTCCTCAATTTGCATATCTTGCTGAAATCGTACCAGCGACGAGCCGGGTGCAAATTTTGGCAAAGAAAAAAAAGAGAACGATGCATGGACTGGAATGATGCATTGTTTCAAGTGTCGCAATCATTTACACACCCATGCATTCCGACCTGGTCGATACGTCATCTCGTGGATCCTGCACTTCCACCTTTTCCCTTCCTACTTGCTTACCTTGTGAATCATATTTTATTCCAAGTTGAGAGAATTGCTGGCACTAAAAACATTGCGTACTTCCAAATATGAAAAAAAAACTCTTGCTCCGCTCCTTTCTGCCATGCATCGTGGTAATAATCTTGTGGACATAATTGGGCAAAAGAATAAGTAAGAGTCGTCGGTTTGGTTTGGTTTAAGGTCTGCTGGTAGATATTTAAAGGTTACGTAAGAGCAAGAAGAGTCACGTTGCTTAATATATTTCTGATGGGACGGACGTAAAACATGGGACGGTTAGAATTTTATAGTCGCTACGACAAGTTGTAAATACGAATGAACGTGGTTATTGTTTCATTCGAATTTTTGTCACAAGTTGAACAGACATCCGAAATTTAGTGTTTTCTCGTTAATTTGACGTCATTATTATGACGATCATGTCCTAAGTGTGATGAATTTAAGGACTTCCAATAAAAGAAATTTAACGAGATCAAGGTACAAATTGTCCACTTGTTGTTGTTCAATAGATTCCAGTACTTGGGAATATTGTGGCAGGGTGGGCTGACTATGTCACCCTTTAAAAGGAGGTTAATTGCGTCATAAAACCAGCCAGGGTACGCTTTTACCATCGCCGTTGAAGATGCCAAAGGGTCAATCGGATTTGTTTGCCGGTACATTTCTTATATCCAGTTCTTCAACATGGACATTAAAATGGGATGCAGCAGACAGAAACTCCGATTTGCACCTTCAACGACGATATGTATTCTAAATATGTAACAATCAAGATGGACAAATCTGCAACACTCTTCAATTTTTAAAAGATCGAATAAAAAAAGAATAAAACCAAACGGAGAGTAAAAAGTGATACAATAATCTGGGGGCGATTGATGCAGTAATAAAATCTGCTCCATAAAATGCCAAAATAAGCTTATCATGCCGCAATTGAGACACAATTACTACCCAAAAAAGAAGCACGACAGGTTAAAAATTCAATTTAGACACGCTAATAAATCGCCAAATTTCATTTTTCGCTGTCTGTCGGGTGGGACGTAAATGTCAAATTTCTTGGTGGCACCAGACCTGACCTGACACACGTGACATGACACATGACATTACTCCTCGTACTCGTCATACATAATCTCATTTCGTAATAAGTACATAAACCCTTGCAGAAATCAGGTAGGCAAAATTAATTGAAAATCTGTCTCAAAATGTGTACGAGAAACTAGGCGTGGTGGTGAGGAGGCAAAGTGAGACTGACACTCAACCCAGATTATTCTTCACGGGGTTCACTCAATCACAAAATCTGGTTCGGAAGAGCAAGGAAGTAAATAGAGTGACATTTTCGTCTCCGTCTCACATCTCACATCTCACCCCATGTGAGCTGAGATGTGAGATTGAGCATGTTTGTACATATGTAGCAAAAAAAGGTACAGAATTCCGTACACTGACATGGCTGCTGGCCTGCTGCGACGAAACCCTTATCTCACTTTCTTCCTCCACGTCGCCTTCTTTAGGCCATCACACACTTCATCTCAGGCTCGAAAATGCAGTGAAAAGAGGATTACGACGACGACCAAGCAGATATATTCGTTTCCTTATTGCGGAATTTAATACGGGGAGGAGGAGGAGGACTGAAAAGTGACGATTTTGTGAGAAATGAGATGAAGAAATAAATTTTATGATTCCTTGGGAAAACTTTAATTGAAGATTAAACACAATAATCTATTTAATGATTATTATTTTCAAAATGTCTCTGATCTATATTAAAATTGCTAAAATAAAACTTTCATGAAATCCAGTTTTTGACGCTAGAGTTTCTCAACTGGGAAAAAATTTTGCAGACGGAATTTAGATTTACAAGTGAACACTATTTACTAAAAATAATGAAGTTTAAATAGACATTTTTGGTTGAAATTTGTAATTAAAATTTTCGGGAATTTTAAGTTATTCATTGTGCAAAGATTAATTGCGATTTAAGAACGATTTACGTATTTAAGTTTATTTAGAAATATTTAAAAGACGGTTTGAAGGCTGTTACTTCAAAAAACCTTACAGTTCTCTTAACAAATGTCTAAATTTATTTTTTTCTCAATTTTTCGACGCTAAAATAATGTCATAACACACAACTTTAACAAAGTTTCCTCTAAAGGACCGTACGTAAAGGATGTTGGAAATTTCCCCAAATTTTGACATTTCCCTCATCGAATGCCACGTATTCTTCATTCAAGGAAATAATGTTGCTCCCTAAAAATCTGTCACATCCTTTGTGCACCATCCCTTTATACGAAACCCCTCAAAATTTGTGATTTTTTGCAAAATTCTCACCTACTGACGCCATACTTGAAAATATGAATGCACCAAAAGTTAAATGTACGATTTTTCTTTACGAAAATTTAATTTAGAGTGGAAGACAAGCAAAACCGGGTGCTGGGTAAGTCGGTAAAAATCCGCATCTTTTGTGGTTAGTGTGTCCCGGCGTGGGGTGAAAGTGGAGATGTGAGTGTGAGTTATCTTTGCGCAGTGGCAGTATCCTAGACGATGAGGTTTATACCGAGTCGGGATTATTGCTAGTTGAAAACTTTAACCAATGCCCCGCCGCTGTTGGAGTGAAATACCTCCGATTACGGCAATTTTTGGAGACCCGTAAGGGTCAATCTATCAAATATAAAGATAAAACACCAGCAATAAGGATGGAAACCTTGCGAATTTGGGTTTTCTAGAAGGTCTCGAATTAGCAAACTCCAATCGTGTCCTACTTTCGTTTCATGAATTAAACAGGCCAAATTTATCCGTGACAAGATGTGTTCAGTTTGGGATCGAATTGACAGATTTATTCATGCAGTCATAATTTTCCGTGATTTCGTGTAGACCATTTTTTCTTTGCTGTAATGGTTTGCCAAATTATTTTTTCGCGACAAATTAGACAAAAAGCACGATCGTCTTCATTACAAGTTGGATTCATTCCAATCATCAATGCATTTTGAAAATGGGTTGTTCACCACCACGTAAATTTAAAAAAGTGCATTTGTATGTGCTAATTAAACCACCTATATATTTTTGTCCGACAACGAGAATAACTAACCAACCAGGCCATTAACGTAGGATTCAATGACTCATCGCCAAAATTTGCACTTTTTTCGGATCTGGGAATTTATTTTAAAATTCTGAACGACAAATTTGTGGTTAGTAAGTTGACTAATTGAATAACGGTGAGTTTTCGCGAGTTTCGATGAGTTCCAATTTTTCTGAAAGCGGCTTAAACTTCAGACGTCTCCTCCAGAATTTTAAAATAATTTCTCAGAGCCGAGAAATGATTAAAAATGTGCTAATTTCGACAGTGAGTCACCAAGTCCTCCATTAAACGTTTCCACCCGTTCCCAAAAGTCGCTTCGTCTTGGAAATGTGTGCCCACAAATTGGTTCAACTCTTTAGCATCGCATCCCACAAAAGGAGAAATTGTGTCTCTGCATTGTTGACCAGGTAAAAATCATGAATAGCACGCAATCAGATGCATTGTGTTCTTCTTCTCCCATTTAAAATCAGATTCACACGTGTCAATCAAATCGTTACCAATTCAGAGAGCTCGGTTCTCTTATTAACGCCCCCGACTGGAGAACGAATTAGAGTCCACTTTTGCTCAGTGGCCGCGGACAGGGGTACAATGTCCTCACAGATATTCGATGTCCCCATGTTATATAAACCCCTGCCTACTTTACCCTGTGTCCCCAAATGTCCCCACGGCTTCCGCAGCCCCTGCCTTTGGTCACGATATAGCCAGAAGAATTGTCCGTATCACCAGGTGTGGCATTCCAGCGTTCGGATTAGGATCCCAATCCAGCCCCAAAAAATGTCTCTATCGATCCCAGAGATCAACAAGTAGCTCAGAAATGTTAAAGCCGAGCGAGAAATGGGAATCCAAATCGTAAAAGTCATTCTGCATGAATGAAATCTGTTTTTGGTTGACTTATAGCTCGCTGAGGCGAAATGTGACACTCACTCGAAAAGTCTGGTAACAAATTTGGACCTGCATCTCACTTACTCACCCGTGACACGAGTTTTAAGACGTGTCATTTTTTCCTCATCCGTCGCCTGACACGACGACACTCGGGCCAAAAACGGATATGGAGATGATCCATTTCGTTCCTTCCAGAGGGAAGAATTTCGTTAAAAGTTCTCCCACTTTTTTCCAAACTTTGTTATGCGACACTGTCAAAAAAATTTTAACTACGACTACGACGACTCTCCAGAAATGTATCGCTATTTCGGAGAGTAATTGGCAAGGCGTAATTTTTTACTGGGGATAAAAAATTGGGACAGATTTCTCTGTAAAAATTTGATCTTTTGCTCCCAGATTATTCAAACTGTGGTAAAAATAACAAGTTTCAAAATTCTCTCGGATAAATTTTAACCTTGACATGACACCTTTTTTATTCACTGTTTTTTTTTGCGTGGTAAATCGCATAAAAAATCGTGCTTAAGCAGAGGGTGGATAAGCATTTAATTTTAACTTTTTCATTTGATGACGGTCAAACTTTGTGGGTGTGTGTTGCCTAACTCGAATAGATCACAAAAATCTCAAAATATTTTTACATAGTGTTGCATATTTCTAGGTTTTCAGACATCAATATTTCAAAATGCAAAAAAAATTATATATTTTTTCAAAAATGCAATGACATTGCAACGATTTGAGACGAAGTTTTTTGCTCAAGGAAATTGGACTACAAAAAAACTAGAACATTGAATTCAATAATTGAAAGTTTGCTAAAATTCTTATGTTTTGTGTACACATTTCATGCATATTTTAGCGTTTTTTTGTTAAATATTAAATACATAATTCAACGATTTTTCGTAAATACCTATCCACCCTCTGATTATAAGGCCAACACGGGATCTGCGTCGGAATGCGGAAAGTAAGAAAGGTTAAATTTGGTCAAAAATATGACAGGTTGGAGACGAACTGGTGAAATATGGGATCTTGTTCATCCGATCTACATGTGCGCATATTTATTGTACACGCAGCTGGACTGGATTTATTTCAATTTCTCGGCTGGGAGGAGGAATGCTAACAAAAAAGTCAGTGTGGCCGTCGAGCTGCTGGTGTCAAAACAGGGTGTAAAATATGGCCAAATGATGATGCTGATCCCCCCAAGCAGCCCCATATCATCGTTGGAGAGACTTGGGAATTCTAAAACTCTGTGTGTCACGTCATGTGATTTCACCTTTCGTTAAATACCATTCTTCACGAGGAAATAGTTTGTTTAAACAAACAATGCAATTACAAATTGCGACAGAGAAATGTTTCTCTTGCAGAAAGATTAACCCGAAAGAAGGAAGTCAAAAACGTATGTACGGTATCCGGTCGGAAATTTGTGTGTGCTTCAATCCAACCAGAGTTTCGCAGTCGTAATGAGTCTTAAAATCGGATAAATCTGAGAATAAATGGCTTCTTGGTGGGTGTTTTTGTAGGCAGGGTGCAGTTACGTGAGCATTTTGTCGTCCCATTTGAAAACGTCGTATGCAAAAGTTTTTGCGAATTTGCTGCAGAATTGAAAAGTTGATTGCAAATTAATTTTTGACTAATCTAACTATAAATCCACACAGATAGTTTTTGTATCAAATGACGCACATCTAAAATACTCACTGGTAAATATGTATTTCTGAATAAAACAATTTCGGAATTGAGTATTGACAAAAAATATTAACAAAATTCATAGTTTTAAAATCCTTCTTTATGAACACGTGTTACACAAAACTCATTTTTTGAACTCGCCTTTTTTTGAGAAATGATTTACCATCAAATTTCAGCAATTAAAAAATACTTAATGTCGAAACCAAATTTCAAAATTTAAATTCGTTTTTAAGCTTTTTTAAGAAAGTTTCCACTTTGAAACCCTGCTTGGTTCCTTCTTCCTTAGCAAACACGTGTCAGAAGCCACAACTAACTTTTCCTTAATCCCATTTGAATCATGAATGATGAGACGTCGTCAAACATCAACAACGCCAATGTTCCGCGGAACTCCTCGCCTGCCGTGGCCAAGATGAAGATGCACTCTCGAACATAAAACTGTTCACACTCTCTTCCTCTCATCCCCACTTTTTTACTCAATGTTTCCCGAAAATCAAATCCTTCCAAGAAAATTCAAACATGTTTACAAAATATATGCGTTTTTGAAAAAAATGTTTAAAAGATTTGCGTATTTTTCAAATAATAGCAGAAATATCCATGTCTGAAAACCTAGAAAGGTGTGATAATAATATGTGGAAATATTTCGAAAATGTGACCTATAAAAGTTAGGTAACACACGCACAAAGTTTGACCGTCATCAAATGGAAAAGTTGAAAATGAATGCATATCCTCCCTCTGATAAGAAGGAATGAAATGGTCGTGTGCCTGACCGGACTGGATTTAGATTTCTTCATCTGAAGGAATGAAATCCCATCCAGATTTCCGGTGGTCTTACTGCCTCACTCAGGTTCAGTTCAGACTCGTACGTAAAATATGTGCACATCTCATTAAAAGGTATTAGAATTTGTTTCGAAGCCATTGAATGCGCCAAATATGGGAGAAGAAGACGAGTTTAGTAGTTTTATTCGATTAGATTCAAGCACTTTAAACTAATCCAAAGTCTACAGACGACCATCATCAAAAAAGAAAATAAAGATTTCAAAGCCTTTCAACATTTTATGAAATGTAGACTCAAAAAATAAATATGGGTCAAAAAATTTAAATAAGTACGTGGTTTAAAATTATAAAGATTTACACAAAAAAATTAGTGGTACACAAAAACTCGTATCGATCTGAACGAAATATTTCAAAATTGTAACTCTGATTTAAAAATTGTAAGATTTTGATGCCAAAAATTAAAAATAATTCATTAGATATTATTATTACTGTAAAAATCCAGGTCATTCAAAGACTTATTATTCTTTGATTGTACGGTTGCAAATTTCAAAAAATAATAATTATTATCAAATTAAAACGGGGAAAAATGTGGAAAATATTTGTCTTTAAAATAGCAAATTGTGCAAGATATTTTGATACTAAAAATTAACCATAATTAATTATTAGAGATAATTACAGAGATAAATCCATGCCGGGTAATATTAATCTGATTGTTGACTTAGGATTAGTCTTGTGTAAGTAGATAATAAAATTTTCAGAAATCTTGCTTCAGGCGGAAGAATGGATAAAAAATAGAATTTTCTCCTCTCTCTCCACGCTGGCAGTTACAGAATCCATAATTTACTCCTCACAGGGAATGATTTCATTTCATTCTCTTAATTGAAATTGCAGAGATCTATAAGAACGCAGGAAAGAAAATGATGATGAGTTGATCATCGTCGTCGTGTGTACAAACTTGGGTATGATCTTTTTTTAATGGAGTATCCAATCCAGCATATTTGGTTAGGTAACCGGATAGTTTTTTATGGTGAGTTACCTCTCATTTCACAACGGGACATGAAAACGAAACCACTAGGTCAACAAATTCCCGGAGTGAATGTAATGGACGTTTCAATTCAATAACGGTAGGAAATTTTTAACCAGGATCCAGGCCAGTCCGATCCGATGAGGAAATAATTCCAATTTCATTTCTCAAATGGCTACTGAATCTTTTAGATGAGATTTCCGATAAGGTAATGATGATTTCAATGTCAAGTAAAAATATTTAGTTTTTTTATTTCCATCTGAATCCTTGAGGGAGCCGTAAATTGAAAAAAAATCAAAATATGGGAGCAAAATTTGAAAAACATACATGTCATTTCAGAAATGATCATTAATCTCAATAAGATTATTTTCTGGTGAAATTTTAAATAAAACTTGCCCCGAATTTGGAATAATTTTTGAAATAAAGGAAGAAACGGAGAATTTATTGTCCAAGTGTTTCCGATGAATTTCAAAAATTCAAAACAACTGGAGCAAAATTTGAAATACAAAATATGTCATTTCAGAAATGATTAATTAATGAATTAATGAATTCATTTATTTATTAATCTCAATAAGATTATTTTTTTGTGTGAAATTTTCAACAAAATTTGCCCCAAAATTTCCATTTTCCGCAGAAAATTAAGAAAGGATTATTTGTTTACGTACTAAAATTCTTCCCCCTCCGCGTCCGCCTCCCCTGCTGGACGTCATGTCGTTTGGGTCAACTAATGACAACATTTGTAGCAAATTATGTCAACTTTTTAGCCCAAAAGCTGCCCACCAACGCGGCAGGAGTTGTCTTCCCTTATAGCGAGCGGTTTCATGGTCGTAATCATGTCATTTTTACCCATTTTCCTATAAAACTATGCACAATTCTGTGCATTACGTGATCAGACTGCGCTTAAATAGCTGTCCAGTAAGAAGAGAAAACCTTACATAATAATTCCAACATTCCCGTCGACATTGCATGCGTGTACGTATGCAAATTAATTGCTTCTTTGCTTAGTTAGTTGAGTTGTTTCTTCGAGTTCAAAATACCAATTTGGCTTAAATTTATGATCTCGGCTTCCAATTTTCGGAAAAGTAGCAATTGTAAATATTTTTTCCCAACTTTTTCTCCCATGTACAAATATTGAGAGAAGGAGAAATGTGTGCAGCCAATAAAATCTGTACAAAAACGGCAGCACAGAGTAAAAAATAAAAAGTAAACACTTAAAATTCGACAAGACTGAAATTTCGATCCGCTCTTTGATTCCTTGCCCATTGTTTGTTTAAAAATAATAAAATCTCAATTGTGACCATTTCCGATCAAACTTTTACTTTTTATTGTACATTCACCGACACTTGTATAAATTTACAAGAAAACAGTCCTTACCTGAAAACGCGTCCATTTTCGGCGTCACGAAAATAAGCCCGTTATCTTCCACATCTTGAGAAAGTATGGAGTGCAAAATTGACACAAAAATCAAGCCCGAACACAAACACGAACAACACAAGGGTGGAAATCTCATCTTGCTGATGTGATACTTTTGCAGCTTATTTCCTAAATTTCTCACTTTACCCCGACGAAATATGTGTAACTGAGAGATGGGATCACAAACAAGTCCTGTTCCGAGATCAGAGAGTTGAAATGGAATGAATGAGGAGAGTGAGAAGAAGTGCAGCAGGAGGACAGAAAAAGTGAGACTCGTTCAGAATGAAACGGGCCCAATATGGAGAAATGCTGATGTTGCATCTTCCCCACTACACAAAATATTTATGTACATGACCATTTCATTAGTGTGCAAACTGCTACACTTTTCCCGTAACAATTATCTCAAACTACCGGAAGTTGATTAAATTGCCACCTGTGATATTGCCACATGTGATGACGATGAAGGTGAAGCGATCAATCAGCAAAAAGTATTTACAAACTGATTAACTCGGAACCAAATTAATTACTCAATTAATTAGGACACTTTTCCCTTAAAAATCGCATTTTCTCATACCCAAAACCTACCAATAAATTATTGCCACCTTTGTGTCATAAATTATTAAAAAGCACAAATTAATGAAATAATATAATGAACCCGACATTAAGTTAATGACAGTTCACCCTTAATTACTTACGATACAACCTGATTTTAGGTAGAAAATTATGTTATTATTTATTAAAGTTGGGGGCTGAAGGGAATCAGAGTTTTTTAGTAGGTTGGGTGGGTGCACCTCCCACATATCACACTATTTATTATCATGTTTTTTTTCTGAAAATCTATTCCATATCGGTAACACGGAGCGGTCCGCCCCTTTATCCTCGCTCGTTGCATACATCTTTAACTGACTGGATTTCCTGTACTTCCTCTGTAATGGCATCATCATCATCAGATTTCAAGCTTGGTTACTTACTTACTTACTTTATTCTATTTCAACCCTACTTTGGCTTGGTGTACAAAAAAAGAGAGTTGGGATAACAGTTTCGCTCCAAATAAGCCGAGAAGCATAACTTGTTTCGAGCATTTTTATAATGCGGATGCGATCTTGTGATCCAGAATCACAAAACTACAACTCATCACGTAAAAGGAAGGAAGAAATATTAAATATGTAAAGATGATGGTGATCATTTGTGGTGATCATTTTCATCCTCCTCCCTACTTTGGACATGTGGAAGAAAAGCAACACAATTTTTTTCATTTACGGTCAAACATTGAGGATGCAATGGTAGGTAGGTCAAATTATAAATAAATCGAGATAGATTAACGTAGGACCGATGACTCATCGACAAAATCGTACAAATCATCACATTATAAATTATTTACTGGAATTATTAGATTTTTAAAATTCTGGATGACTAGATGATAATTTGTAAAACAGGTCGCGGCCAATTTTGTTAAGAAGTATACACTCCGGATTTTGACAGTTTGTGGTGGAGATTTGAAGTTTAAGAAGCATTCAGAAAAATTGAAACTGGCTTAAAAAACTTGGTCATCCTATTAATCAAGTTACTCATTTACAAATTTGTCGTCCAGAAATTTAGAATAAATTCCCAGAGCCGAGAAGTGATTACAAATGTCCTGATCTTGGCGATGAATGACCAAGTCCTACGTCAATGTTAGTACATAGCAAATGTCTTGTAATTTCCCCTTTTTTCGTCCATCACATATTTACATACACACGAGTAAAAAAGAGAACAATTATAACTTAAATTGACACGATATACAAAAAATTAATCATGGATGATGATGATATGATGTCCCGCATCAAACATTTGATCTCGATGTGTCTCCTGCTAAGCGATCGACGTACTGCAATCAAGACAAAGACAACATCCATTATTATTTGGAATTACTTGTTTATTTGACAATAATAATATTCCACGTGTTACAAAGCTCGGATTTAATAATAAAAATGTAAAATGTTTGAAAAAATTCATCCGTTGTTTGAAAATGTGTCAATTTTTTATGAGGACGAGGGTGGAAAGCAGTCATCAAGTACCTTGCTGATTCCTGGCATATTGAGGAGCGTCCCTATGACGGGAACTCTCCGCAGAAAGTTTATGGCGTATGGGAAGAAGCCAGAAAAGAGGAGGAAGAATCCATACGTTTCCACCACCATGCCAATTATCGGCCATCCTATGAGGACCACGAATATTCCGCCAAAGAAGGCCGCACTCCCTTTAATCTTGTGGCGTTGAAAGAAAAATCGAAACGTCCTTTCCAACCCGATTAGGAAGGCTAGTCCGCATAAGAATAAGATCTAAAATGTGGAATTAATCAGACAGATTAGTTAGCAAATTAATTAGGGCAGATTTGTAATTACGGTTCAAAGTTTTTAAGAAACAAATGACAAGTTTACATTTCCGATCGCCAAAAGTCCCTTATCAAATACGAGGAGGACCCCAAGGAATAGAAAACACGCTCCAAAAGCGACAAGACCAATGCCGATTTCTAAAATAAGGCAAATAATTAATTGAGGAAGCTTTTAATTATTTGTAAACAGTTAAATTTTAATTTAACCATTTTACTTACTCTGTGAATCGGTGGGATTGAACATGACGGATTTGTTGATGTGTGTTTGTCCTGCTAATTAATAATCTTCGTAATTAAAATAACTATGTTTTAATTTAATTCCACGTCACACACTTGACGAAGTGACGACAGAGACCCTTGACTTTGACACGAGTGACGAAAAGTAAGATATTCACGGTTAAAGAAATGAGTAGTCGTGGTCCCGCGATGGTGACTCACTGCTCGAACTCTCAATTCCCCCAAATACAAATGTTGGAACGAAAAATATATATTTTTTTTATTTGTCCAGTAGTTTTCGAAATATATAAAAAATAAGTTAGGATTGTCAATTTTCAATTAGACACGACACTAAACGCAAATATGCTGAGGTGCCAAGTAATTTAAGTGACAAGGTGAAAATCTTCATGAGTTTTGTTCGACATAAACATTCAACATTTCCATATCTAAATTAACACGTGAAAACTTGACAAAGAAATATAAAATGGGTCCTAAAAAGGATGCAAAATCCGGCGGGGGTGGTGGAGGTGCTTCGAAAGGGGGGAAAGGTGGAAAGGCTGGAAAATCTGGGGGTGGTGGTGGCGATGAAGATGCAAAAGCCGCTCCAAAAGGTGGTACGGCAGTTAAGGTAAATAATTAACGTTATGACTTTGATAAATTTATAAGTATAAAAAAAAAAACTTAGTAAGTATTTAACTTATTCCTTATCACTATATTAGGTACGACACATCCTGTGCGAAAAACAATCCAAGGTATTAGAAGCCTTAGAAAAATTGCAAGCCGGTACAAAATTCTCTGAAGTGGCTGCAACGTACAGTGAAGATAAGGCCAGATCTGGGGTAAGGACTTGATTGATACTTAAATGACTTAATAGTCAGTAATTGTCAGACATAAATAATATGTAAATTGGTCTCTAATTATCAGGGAGATCTTGGCTGGATGATTCGAGGCTCAATGGTTGGACCTTTTCAAGAAGCAGCCTTCGCCCTCCCGATCTCTTCCATGGATAAGCCCGTCTACACAAATCCACCCATTAAGACAAAGTTTGGCTATCATATTATCATGGTTGAGGGGAAGCGATGAGCTACTTATAGCTTAGTTAATATAATTAGTTACAATAATTAGTTTAAATTATCAAGTAATTCTGCATTTAATTGTAAAAAATTCACTCCAAAAAACAGAGACATGTGTCAAACTTAATACTTTTATAAAGTCGAAATATGTTTAAAATTATCGTGTAAATATAATAAATAATTGATAAGCCACTTATCCTGCTAAATAATATCCATATGCATATTTATTTGTCGACTTTTTAGCCCGAGTCATGGCCATGGCTTATGGAACAGTCATGTCCGTCCGTAAACACGATAGAGCTAAAACGGCTGAACTGGTCGACTTGAAATTTTGACCATGTGCATACTGGACAAAGTCAAGACTTGAGTTCGAAGATAGGTGAAAACGGTCAAGTGGTTGATCGGTGGAGGTCATCGGAGTGGGTGCGGTATCATGTGCTAAAATTTCATAATTGTCGTACTTTAGTAGCAAGCTGAAATTTGGTAGAGAGGTTACTAATGGCTTCTAAAATAGATAAAGATGACTTCAACTTGGGATAATTTTCATCTTGAGGGACCCCACAGGGTGACCCATACTGATTTTTCCAAAATTTTCATATCGAGCTGATATGATAGTCTTAATGGAAGAAAATAAAATGATCAAACACGGTCGTGGCGATAAGCGCAGTATATAAACATGTCGACAACGCAATGGAGGAGATTGTGTCCACAAATGGTGCAAATCGGATAAGAAATGGATAAGTAATGGCGAAAAAAAGAGTTGAGATTTGTTGAGAGATGCAGCAGTGAAATTTGGTTGAAAAGTGAGAATCTGCAAGGCCATTGACCTCGTCAAATCGCTTCCATCTCAAAATTCTGAGACGAAAATTTTGAGATGGAAGCGATTTGACGAGTTCGATTGCCGTGCAGATTCTCACTT